TTCTCTTCCTCTCCCCTTTTGCCTTTTTTGTTGCCTTTGCTCTATCTTTAATTTCTCACCCATATGCCTTTTTTTTTGTATCACTTGCTCCTTCTCTCTATATATAATTATTTAGCTACTTCATTTCCCTGAATCTCTTTATATTTCTATCTTAAAAGACAAAAAAGTTAAATCTGAAAGGCAGCTTTCAGTTAAATATTTATGCTGCATAATGGGCTGCTTGCTGTGTTATATGCCTTCATGTTATCCTGGCAGAGGAGATAAAATGAAGGATGAAGGAGAAAAAAAAGTGTTGACTGTCAGGATCACCATGAAGGTGTGGTATAGTGAAGAGTATTAACTTAGAGATTCCCTGGGATTCCCTTTTGGGTTATTCTGTGCTCTGAGTATTGGCTTTGCCAATACACTTAAAGATACAGTGTGAAGGCAAATATATTAGAAGTTTGAGAGGTGACCACATTCAAAAGGTAATGACATCGTAAAAGAATGAAAAATACTTAACTTCAAAGTGGTAACAGCTTGACAAATACTTAAGCAGTGGACAAAAATACTTAAGTGGTTTTCAAACTTTATTTTCAAATTCATTGCAAGCTACTACAGAACACAATAAATTCTCCAACATTTTATTCCCCATATGAGCTCTTGGGACAACTAAATCTCAGCATAATATCAAGATTTTTTTTGAGATACATTTCCCTTTCTACTCAATTTTGGAAGATAAATATTTTCCAAGACCAATATATCATCCAGATAATTAATAATAATGCAGAAGAACTGCATAAATTATTTCTAGAAATCAGCTGTCAGTTTTTCAAATGTTGTAGTTCTGAAAAGAAATACTGAAAATGTAAACTTAATTTAATGAAGCATTCACACGACATATTATTTGTTCCATTTTCATACAACCACATTGTCAGAGTAACCAGTTAATGCAAAGTGAATTTTGTACATGTAATTCAGAATTCAGCTCACAGAATAAAAATGCATTGAATAATAAAAGATGAAGAGTTAATGAAATAGTGTTAGCCTCAAGAATTTCTTTCAGTAGCTCTTCTGACAACTCTTTAACATTTCAGTAGCATCATCAGGGAAAACACTTATCTCACTGCTCAAAAAAGAGAAAAGATGTGATAATGTGGAAAAGAACTTCAATTTAGAAAGTAAAGTGAAGATTCAGCTTTGGCATAAAGGTAAATTAAGCATTGTTAATGGACTATAAACATTAGAGCCTTGGTCTACTGAATTCAATGACTGTACTCTCACTGAGTCAATGGTAGAAACGTTTTCACCCTAACTTGATTTAAACTTTTGAAAGCCTTCATAAATAAACACTTGAAGTTCCTCAGTGTACCTGCAAGAGATATCTTAGTTGAGCCTATATTTTATTTTTAGGGTAATCTAGTTGACTTAAATCTGAATGCCTACTGTCAGAACAAATGATTTATGGTTTGGTGTTGACACTGCAATCCCTACAAAATGAGAGAACCATTTTGGGCAATGCCTGTGACACACTTGCTGAAAGAAAACAGGTTCCTTTACTCATACTTTTGCTGGCACAACAAAAGAAGCAAGACTGTTTGAAAATGTTTTATTTCAGCACATAATTGGTTCCTTAGTATTTTCTTCATGTTCACTGCTGTTGGTTGTTTGCTTTCAGAATTAATTTTGATAAAGCACCATCGTATTACAACGAATAATCCAGCAGTGGGCAAAATAATAGATTAATATTTAGTCAGTCTTTTACTTTTCTAGCTTCAGTGATTCTGATGATTGGTAGTATAAATTTAGTGACAAAAACTCCCAATAGTCATTATACAGATAAATTCAGTGCCTCCTGATTTGTAATTTATAGTAATATCACCTTTTTAGATTCTCTGAACATATTCTATTAGTATTTCAATGTCTAATATAGACAGTTGCAAAAATTTTATGTACGTTATTAATAAAATTTTGCCATTGGAAAGTATTCAGAAATAAGTCTACATCTAAAAATACCCAATTGTGTGTTTTAGGAAATGAGATCTAGTGAGTCAGTCTTATATCGCAAATATTTATTTTTATCTAAGCACCACATTCAGACTTACTGTAGAGTGCATAAGTGTGTCTCTGCCTTTCTGAGTTGAAACGTTCATTTAATCTTGACCCCAGAAGATAGTTTCTCCTGAAGATGTCTGGCCATGGCTTTAAAGGGAAGATCATACAGCTTTTGTGTCCCTCAGCAATGGCAGACTTCAAAATTGCTGAATGCTGCCCACAAAAAGGGAATACTGAACTGTGTTTTTGCTTTTATTCTAGTGGCCTCTGCTAAGTGACTTCTCGAGGCTGTGCACTTGGATGACTTGCACTTTTGTGCATTTACAGTTATATTGACTTGTTAATCATAGCCTTTGCTGTTTGGTGATTTTAATTGAGATTATGCAAATCATTAAATAAGGACAATAATCATACATGTCTTATAAAACTCGAATCATCTCCCCTTGTAGGAAAGAGCTTGCATAAGTGAGAGAGCATGATTGTGGCTAGAAGGGAACAGGCACAGGCAAACGCACCAGCTTCTCACACTGATGAGCCAGGGAAGGCCTAAAACTGTCATACAAATAAATCGCTTATCCTGTTTTCAAGCTTTCCTCAACAAAAATTGCACGGAGGCAATTCCAGTAATTAGTGAAGAGTTAGAGACAAAACACATTAAATAAAGGTTGTAGATGGGAAAAAATGATGAACTGTTCGTGGAGAGCTTTTAAGTAAAGTAGATGAAAGAATTTTTACAAAACTCATTGGACAACCTCCCTCTGTCCTCAGAGATTTATATAGGATAAATAGAACAAATACTGTTCCTGCATGTTTGTTTATCTGTGAAACTTCTCCACACAAAAAGTAATGATACCCTTTCATTGACATCATCCCAGTAATAATATCCTTCTGACTGTGTCATAGGGGTAATAACAAGCTTTCAAGTATTTCAATGAGTAATGTATTTTTGACATTCTACATAAAAATAAAGACTCCTTAAAAATCCGTATCTCCTATTTGTTTCAGCACAAAACTCAATATCAGTAAATTAAACTGTTGTGGAATCGAGTACAGAATTTGACCCACTGTACCAAAGAAGTAATGCAAGTTCTAAGAGACTAGTTATTTCCTCAGTTTTCTTAATGATATTGTAATTACACTATTATTTTTTTAAATGAACTTTTTGTTGTTATTCCACAGCTGACAAGCATACATTAGGAGACAAAGAAACGAACAGGGTTATATTCAAGGCTTATCAGAACTCCTTTCTTAGGTTTAATTGCATGTTATTTATCATTCAGCAAATTAGCCTTGAGAGGTCACTGTTGCTCATGCAGGACAGAAGCATTAATGCTAAGATACTACATAGAAAAATAGTTTAGTTAAGCAGTTACTACTAGGCTTTTTACTCTGTAATCCAGTCTTATATTGACATGCAAAGACTTTGTCATATGACACAGTAGAAGGTTGTGAGAAATTGTTCCTAACAAAAATGTAAACTTTCTTATTTGAAACCTTTATTTTAATTACCTAATATAACATAGATTTACTACAATAAGATGATATGTATTCATTAGTCTGATTAGATTGCCTATTGTCATAATGCTTTATCACTAATGTGAAATACATTGCAATGTTGATGTTTTTATTAAGCCAATATCTTTCAAAGCTAAAGATCTAGCAAGTCAAACAGGAAGTTAACTGTGTGTCTGTTTATCGAACTTGATTTATTTCATTGAGCTTTTAATGTCTTCAGATAAAATACAAAGATCAAAGCATTTTCCTGCCTAAGAGGGAAAGTGAACTGTATATTAACTTTTTCATCCACCAGTGAGACTTTTTGTAACCCAACCAATAGAATATCTGCATTGCAGAGGCATGAATCTTAGGAGTTAGACTTGCAGTCATCAGCTGTAGGTTCTTTCAGAACAAATTCCCTTTTCCATGACTGTGAGCTGTTAGAATGCACATTTCACTCTGACTGCACTCCTATCTGAATTTATGATAAAAGCAGGCGTTCAAAACTGTTGTAAGCTGAGTTCTTTATTTGTCTAGTAATTTGAAAAACAAGTAGCAGAACTTGTCTTATATAAAAAATGAAATTAATGGATTTGCTCTGTTCACGTGTTGTATTACATTCTGCCAAACATGTGAAATTGTATTTCATCTATTTGTAATGTTAGCTCTCTCAAGCTCTACCATATCCTGTAAGCCAGAATTGGTAACTTTGAGACTAAACAGTATATAACCAGTGAGAAATTCTGGTTAAATTGGTGGAATCATTTGCAGTAACCATTTTAGGATGTGTATATCAAGTATGAACAAAATCATATAGGATTAGTTTAAAACTATTTTCTTGCTATTTTCTTGTTTCATTTCAAACACCTTTCCTCTCAACATTTTAAATAGGGGTAATTTTTGGCTATTATGTTTCTTAGAGCCATATACTTTTACAGTTAAAGCCCTGACTCTGCAAACACTTAAGTATATGCTTAGTTTTACCTAATAACAAAATCTCTTAGATACCAACTAACAAGGTAAAAGCATTTATAAGGTTTGGGTCTTACTTGGCTTTTAGGAAGTCTTTTTACACTCCTCCAAATACTTCAATCAGCCCTTTTATTGAGCAAACTATGCCTGCAAGGCTACAAAGGAAACCCAAAATAAAAACAGAGATATCTGCACATTTCTCTAAGAAGGATAGTTTCTTCCATTTAAGTTTTAAATGGAAGATAGAGGGAAGAAGAAAAGTCATGGCAGCACCAGTTACACTGCCTGTTAAACCCATCAACAGGGCAAAATATGGTATGAACATGGCCATCAGCAGAGTTAACAGGAGAAATGAGCCTCTTATACCCAGAGCAAACAATGGAGATCTGTAATTGGAATGATTGCCTCTAGAAATACAAGTGTACACAATTTCTGTGGCTGCAAAAAAGGGCAAAGGGTAGGAAAGAAGAGCCTTAGTTAAGAGACACAAATCCACTAGGGTTTGAAGAAATGATGGCAGGTTGTCAGTAATAACTTCCTTTGTCTCTTCACCCCAGGTCAAGAATGCCGTCAGTGCAAAGGTTGTTTTCAAGACACAAGCAAAAAAGTGAGTCCAGTTCAGCATATATCTAAATTCCCCTGGGTTTTTCATGTTACCTTCAAGTGTGGGAAGAAATATTTGTGAAGTGTAACTGAAAATGATCACCCCCACAGAGACCAGGAAGTCCTCAAACTCAATGGAGAGTCTGAATTTTGCCCAGGACCACTGATGTACTTGTGTCAGACAGTAAGTCATCACTACAAGGATGATAATAAAATGGACCAAGGAGCAAAGCTGGCTGAGTTTGGAAACAATTTTGAGAGTCTTGATAAATACACAAGGCAGCAGTGTAACAAATGCAATTACAGACCAAGTTTTCTCATTCACTGGTACATATGGGAAACTATGTGACAGCAAGTTCCCACTAACAACCAGATACAAAATACATGTCATGATCAGTTCCATCACTTGGGTCACATTGACAACTATGCCACCTAGTTTGGGAGACAGCTTTTTGCAGCAGGCATTTGCAATATCTTCATACGTGTCTCTCACTCTTATGAGCTGCCCTTCTTCATTTTCTTCATACAGGCAAGAAATTAGAATTTTGCCTGTGTAACAGCATAATGCTGCAGCCAAGATAATAAGAAACAGGCCACTGTATCCACTGTGGAGAAGAGCATATGGCAATCCTAGGACAAATATTCCCTGAAAAGGAAAAAGATAAATAAAAGGTAGCACAAAATCCCTGAGGCGAAATGTTTACCAGAAGCTACACTCCCAAACCTGCCCTCCATTGAACACTGCTTTCACATACCTGCATAGTGGAAGTATTGCTACATTCAGCTAAGTAAGTAACAATCATGAGAGATGTGTTTCTTTGTGATAAATGAAATTATCAGCAAAAACAACTGCTCCTATTGACTCACATGTAATCATAAGCTAGGAAAAAGAGAATGCGACTGAATGATAGAGGCAGGTTCCTAGTTAATATTTAACGCTGATGTGATTAGAAGCACATTTTAGAAGGTTCATAGGCAGTTATTCAGTCAATATGCATATTAATGAAACAGGCTCAATACCAGTAAAATAAAGCAACTGCAGCATCATCTGTACAAGTTTCACGCAAATTAAAAATACAATTGTAGATAGATCCAGCAATGACAATTCTCTTCAGTCTAAAAATTGCTAACAAACCTCTAGAAAGAAAATGACATTAGAGTGAAGTCAGACTTTGCTTGTACTTCTGCGGCTTCTGCATGCCTCAAGCAGTCTTTGCTCTTGTGAAGTCCACTGCTAAAGTGATCCTTCTCACAGCTGAGATACTACACTGTGCAAACTTATTAAGGTGTTTAAAAATACATGTAAAACATATAGACATACTTTAAACACTGTGTGCATTTCTTTATCTTTTTCCTTCTTTCTTGTCTATATTTAAGGACAAATTACACTTTCATGTGGTTTAATTTCCATCAGCACAAAACAAAAAAAAACCCCTTAAACGATAGTTGTTCATAAGAAGAACCAGTTTAGGAAAGATGCTTCTCTTTTTATGCTACAAAGCTGAAATTAGGCAAGGCATGTTAGTCAGACTGGCCAGGCATTTTTGTTCTTGATGGCTGAAGAAAGGTAGAGAGGAAACAAAATACAGTTAACTAGTTCTACAGAAATTTTTACTTCAATATTTTTTACAGCACTGATGACATGATGAAATATGAGCATTTGTGTTCGTGTTTGTTATTCCAGCCTGACAGAAGGACTTGATTTGCATCAAACCAATCTAAACTCTATTTCTGACCAAACCTGAGCAACCCCATGTGCTCTGCAAAAACCATGGATCCCCACAGAAACAGGCCTTCTTGCAGAAGGGGCGATGCTTCTCTCAACTCCTGAGTGGGTATTGCCGCTGACAACCTTCAGGAGCCAAAGTAGAAGAGGTGAGTTTAATGGTCTAAATCTTAATTTTAGACTTTTTAATCCACCATCATGGACATGAGGCCATGTGGAGGACAAGTGTTTCAGGCATGTTTCTGCCTTTGATGATTTCTACCTTCTACCAATTTCCTCAAGTTTTATATTCAGGAGACAGTTTCTGTGAGGGCAGCCTAGGAATTCAGCTCTGCCAGAGCTCATCAAGAAGGCAGATGCTTGTCCCAGCTTTGTAGGATTTGTACCTATCATCCCACTTCTAAGTGGTACAAGTACTCCTAGGTCTGATCCATAAGGAGGGCTCTGAAGAGAGGCAATTTTTCAAGCATTAAATAACCATCAATGTACAAAAGGTATTCTCCTTTTCTTCCAGCCACAAAATAGCAGTCCTTTTCAGGGAGACTGTGGGATGAGCATCGGCCAGAGAAGAAATATTAGAAGTCTTTAAATTAGAGTAACATTTTTTCTCTAAGTCAAGTAGAAAAATGAAGTGCCCATCATGCGAATGAGCAGCATTGCCTGTTACACCAGGCTTCACTCTAGATGGAGATAACTTCAGCTTTCAGCAGAATTAGAGCTGTGAGAATCATATTAAAAACATGCCCTAATACTTTTCAATTAAAAAGGTCTATGCCTTTATGTAATGAAACAGAAGTACCTCAGTTATCATTACTGATATAATAATAAAGTTATTGACCAGATACATTTTTTGGTTGTTTTCAATCACCTAATTTGCAGCAATGGTTTTGTGTAAGTCACAGGTGCCATTTCATTTAGGAGCTGTAACATACGACTACATAGCTTGTGGCACTTCAGTCATCCAAAGCTCCTCACTCCAATAGCTTAGCTCCTTTCTAATTTAGGTCTCATGACCCAGTTAGGTTGCAGTGTAATTAGCATTTCTTTTGTATGTGAACTTCGCAGAAGTGTTCAAGATTCTACAATCTCTGCCATCTAACAGTCTACTTAAAAAGACTAGAGATCTGACTGTATCCAGACTGCAGGTAGCACACGTGTAACAGTAGCTTTTGGTGTCATGCCATTTTTAATCGTCGCTTTGACTGGCAATTTAGGTAGTTGCCTAAAGAACAAAATGTGTTTTCTTTCCTGTGAAAACAATCCTTGGAGAACATTTACGTACAGATTGAGTCTGAAAGCATCACAAATAAAACAAGTCTATGAAAAAATCAGGAGGATAAAAGCCAGAGAGTCATCTTCTGTATTAACATAAGAACAATGTCTTTTTCTTAGTTCCTTGCAGTTTGTAGCAAGTTTATCTCATTTGTTCCATACTCACAGCATTATTATTTTGCCCTTTAACCTGCATTTGGGAGTTCAAACAGTACCTGCTGACCCAAAGGGTCATTGTATAATTAAACCATAGGTAAGTGTCAGCACAGGCCTTACCCACACAATGGCTTCTCCCCTGCTGAATTTAGTCTATTAATGCTTATATGAGTAGCCTCAACCTAAACCAAAGCATAAGTCATTCAGAGACATTATCACAGTAGACAGCCATTTACAGTCCTTCCCACAGGTGTCTGCTTTTCCATGCTTAATTGTTGGTTTAATCAGAGCATAACATAATTCTCACCTCTAACATCTTGCTCTTGTTTATATCAAATAATTTTATTTGGTGCCTAACACAGACTGCAGGATGATAGAGGCATGAGGTTTTGTATTGATTTTTTTTTCATCTTCTGAATTCAGACCTTATTAAACAAACCCATTTTTGCACTATTTATATTTTTTCTTAAGATTAAGTACCAGTGATTGCCAATTTCAAAGTTTAGAGTTTAGAATTTCTGAATTGAACCTTTCTACAGAAACTGTAAGATTTCCTTTCAGCTAATGTCTTTGATATCTTTTCCACAGAGTTTGTAAACTTCAGCTTTCAGTTAATAATAGAAAGCAAACATTATGGACATAACTGGTTTTGCAGCTTTTTGAATACAGAGCATGGACAGTGGAGAGAAATGGGAGGACTCTGAACATGCCCATACAGTAAGTATGTATCTGATGAAATGACAATGTTTTTCCTGCCTTGCCAGAAATGCTTTTTCCATTTAAAAAAAAAAAGGATTCAAGTATCAACATGTTGTCCAATTTCTACAAAATAGCCAACAATGTTAGTGAAGGCCAAGAAAACTCAAAGAGCAAAAGACTGTCAGATTTCAAAACCCATTTTGGATTTGATCTTCTGGTCTTACCTTTGCAAAAACAATACTTTCTGTCAGGATCATTTCCTGAACATCAGAAAGTTCAAATAGTTTCGTTTCAAATAAAAAGTAAATTTTAATAAGCACTTATTTTGCTGTCAATGTAGTAAAACAGTAAAGGCATCGGGCTCTGTTCTCTGGTTAAAGTTGCTCAACAACCTTAGAGCATTGCTTATAGTGACTTATCTATGGAAAATTCCTCCTCTATAAAGAAATTCTTACATGGATGTTGTTGAAGATGGCTTTTGTGGCCCTCTCATGAAGAGTGAAGAGTACAGAAAATGTAGATAGAGCATGTAAACATTTGACTTATCCTTTGCTAGTGGAAGAGGGACACAGGTAATTCCTACACCATTCATCAATGCACATTTGGTCCAGACTGGCCTCAACACTTGCTCTTATTGAGTCTTCTGATTCTGTGTTCTTGTGTCCAAATTACGGCACAGACAGCCTTAGCTCTGAGGCATCAATTAAAAATGAGCAGCAAAATGAATCATTTCTTAAATTTCCTCCTAGCTCTTAGTTCTAATGTTCTGTCTGGGAAGTGTTCCTGTCTGATTGGTTTTATTTCCAACTGCTCTAGTGCAAAGTCAAATATCTTAGCTCTAAATATGCTGTTTACAAAACAGAATAGTGCAGGGGAAAAAAACACACAGTCAGGTACAGGAGAGTTGGAGTTTTTGAAACAATTCTCTACTATGGCTCAGCTTGAGTGGCTGTGTTATTTGCCATCCCTCCATTCACTGTGTATAGGGAGAGACCCCAGTCTTGTCCAGTGAGGTCCATCTTCCCTTGTCTCCCAAGACGTTTGCAAGACTTGGGTACTTTCACAGAGTCACAGAATCACAGAATATTAGGAGTTGGAAGGGACCTTAAAAGATCATCCAGTCCAACCTTCCTGCCAGAGCAGGATCACCTAGACTGGGTTGCACAGGAACACGTCCAGGTGGGTTTTGGATGCCTCCAGAGAAGGAGACTCCACAACCTCTCTGGACAGCCTGTTCCAGTGCTCTGTCACCTTTACAGTAAAAAAGTTTTTCCTTATTTCCTTTCACCCAAGACTGAGGGTGGAATTGGACTCTGTTCATTGTTAATGAGTGAATACATGTGTCTGGGTGGAGGCTGCTGACAAACATCCAGAATAGAATTAGTCACAGGCAGCTGGGCTTAGAAAGAAGAAAGGACTGAGGGCTGAACTGGTGATCAGCCTCTGAAGACATGGCAAGGACAAGAGCGGAAAGGGCACGTAAGGAAAGGTCAGACTCAGCTACAAGCTATTTATCAGCCTTGTCAGTATACCCTCAAGCAGAAGTAGCCAGGTATGACAACTACCACCAGAAATGTGTGATCCACCTACAATACTAAACAAGCAGATCAGGATTTCCAAATTACATCTGCACATTGAAACATGTTTGCATTTGTCAATGGTTTGACTGCAATATTTTAACTATATGGGAGTGTTTCCCACACTAGCAAGGCTGGCAGCCTGTTTAAAAATACTAGATATCTAGATTAATAGAATTTAAAAAGTGTGCCTTCTGCTATCATATCACTGTCTGACACTACTTCACCTCAGCGCAAGAACCTCCCCAAAGCATAAAATGTGTTTAGAAAAATGGTTAAATGAGCACAGTCAAGCACTCTAAGAAAATAACAAAATTCCTTAATGTTCACT